ATCTCTTTTGGAAAGGATAGGAGCCACATTCTCTCTTTTGATCACTTTCTCTCCTCCGTACCCACCACCATCAATATTTTCACTTCCTTCTTTTCACACTCTAAATCTCTCGCTTTCTCAAACTCACCCATGAGACTTAGATTGGTGACTCAAGGATAGTGAACGGTAGCAACATGACATCCACTCCGGTGATTGGTCTCTCACGAACTCTGACGTCCATGAAATTTAGCGGCGGCCACGAACACTAGCGTTAGCAGATTTTACACGTTGTCGCAGTAGATTTTTGATTGCCCGACAGTGCACGACTCTAGACATTCTTCTCCACGGACTTCGTGTATGATCGTATGGCAACACTTCAGTCCCCATCAACGATGTGGTGGATTTATTATTTAACTGTGATAGTTTGTATCAAATGTGTTAGAAGAGTTAGTTGTCCGTATTTTCTGGTTTGAGGCTAGTGGGTATGTACCCGTTCGTTCCTGATGCCTTTGTTTGTATAGGGTTACCTCCCCTCGACCTTCATTCCCCTCTTGCAGCCAAAGTGATAGCGGCTGTAGCATCCACCGGTAATGTGTGGAAGAGGGTAAGCTTTCTATGTGGATGGGAAATATTTCGGAATGCACATGTCACCCCAGACATTTCACCCGAGAGATTGGCCAGGTTAGTGGGACAGATTTTGGCTTTGCTTCAACCTCGTGACCCGGTGAAATTGAATTCTCCGTGAAGATGCGGAGTACCAACGTAGGCGCCACTCTCTTTCTGAGTTATTCCAGCTTTCAGATCAAATCATCCATTGGTAGCCCGACAACGCGGACGAAGTTCCGGAACACATTCGGTAGGCTGTGTTCCTTTGACACTCTGTTCAGCAGCCTTTTCTGCATTGAGACCATAGCATGTTACACGAAAGCGCCGCTTTCTCTGTAGTGTTGTCACACAGCAGCCCGCCTAGAAGAGCCACCCATCCCAACCAGGGGTATGCTGGGATTTGCTGGTGTACATAATAAATGGGGAGGAAACAACAATGCAGGGGATCAGACACATGATCATGTTCTGATACCATCTAAAGAGTGAATAAACCACCACTCAACCCAAAAGCTTAAGCTGATGGATTGGGTAAATTTAATTCATATATTGGATATCTAACACAGTGAACATATTGAAGGAAGTGTTAACTATGTTTCTTCCAAACTACTGGTGGAAATAAATAGTTTGGAAACAATCCGTTTAAAGGTGGTGATGCAAGGAATTCTTAGAGATGAGATGTATCAAATAGGATTTGTCATCTCCCAATAGCAGACTAACCTATGAAGTGTCTTCTTCCCGCAAGGCTTCACCTAGCAACAAAACGTCTTTGAATTCTAGTAATAGGGCTATGTCTTCTTTCGTAATTAAGACTTATGTTTATGTGAATGATAGTTTAAACTCAGAAGAAAGAGATCTTGCTACTATTACCTACTGGGCGATTTGGGGTGATCAGAATGTCACGGTCCATGGAACAACGGTCTTCCACTGATTTAAAGTGTGCTTGGATAAGTTCTTACTTCCAAAGCTACTTGCATGCACAGGCAAATAGAGGAGAATTGCTTCAGCAAAGCTTAGAATCTTCTTCGTCCCGAAGCCCTCATCGGTGGCTTCCTCCATCTAGTTCTATTATGAAGGTTAACTCTCAGCTTGTCTATCTACATCAACGAGACTTGGTCTGATGATCAGAGACAATACATTCTGCATCCCCTTACTCCTCCTTGGGCTGAAATCAGAGGAATCTTGGAAGCTTTGAAGCTTGCTCGCTCGAGGAATTGGCTTCGTTTGGTAGTTGAATCTGATTGCCGCTTTCCATTCCGGATGAAAGAACACAAGACTGAGGAGATGCATTGAAGAATCAACTTCACCCATTCTTCTACAAAACCCAATGCAACATCATCTTCTCAAGGAAACTCCACTCCACTATATTATAAGCCTTACTCATATCTAATTTTAAATACTAAGATCATGAATATGCACTATTTGGACTCAAGACAAGCTCTTTTAAAGGTGGTTTCTTACTCAACCAAACTTAAATTAACATGAATTATACCATTTTTGCCATTGAAATCAAGGATTATCAATTATACTAAATATTTAGTTGGTAACTGCACTAGTTTAAAATATATTACTAAGCACACTTTCAACATATTTTTAATTATGATTCAATTTCTAAATCTACTACCAAATATATTGTTGGATGATAAATTATAGCATGTCACATGGACCAATAAAATTGGATGATTATGCCTCATTCGTTTCCTCAGGTCAACATCTTACCTACTAGTAACGAGCTCAATAGCTCAACACTTGACGAATTGTCTACTTTATGAAATATACTGATCTCATATAGCTCGTACCTCTTCGAAAAGCTTATCCAAGTAAAAAGACCGAGCTACAAGATGAAACCAGTTACAACCATGTAACAACCTCTGTAACGACTGTGATTTCTATAAATGCGCACTCACTCTCGTAGTGTATGTGTTTATGTCTGGATTCGACTTACATTGCTTGAACTTTGGACTGACTTGAGTGTCAGAGTTTGTATGGTTCAAAATTGAAAGAGGATTTAGATGAAAACACTTGTTGTGCCGTAGATGAACTATTGTCTTGAAAGTAATTTCGGCACGATCACGGTACTAAATCGTATGTACGTCAGTTACTCCCAAGGTTAGCACAACTTCGAACTCAGACGTGCACTCGTCTGAGTCGAATAAAATTGAAAAACATGCTTATAAATTTTGTCAAAATTTTTTGGATCTCATCATCACATAAATAAAACTTGATTTAGTTGGAAAAAATATAAATGTTTTAACTTAATTAATTAAAAGATTAGAAAACAAAATGAATGAATTAATTAAAACGTGAAATAATTAATTCAGTAAGGTTCAAATAATCAATTAAAACAAAATAAAATGTTTTTCATTAAAACTGGTAAAAATAAGCAATAATAAAATATTGTTTATTTTTCTTTGTAAGTACACATTTTTCCTTTGTCGTTCTCAACCATTATTCGTTGTGTGCATATTTTCTTGCATAGCTAGTGGACGAGCCGAGTTATATAGAGCAGGCTAGTGGACACCTCAGTCAGAAGTAAAAGCCTTTCCATAATAAAAGATTTTGAGTTCGATCACCTATCCCATATGTTATATTAAAAAAAACCTCACCACGAGAGAGAAAACGATTTCTACTAAATTAGTATTAGCATTAGCCATAAAACAGTGCTCAAAATTTGTTGCTTTGCTTCTTGAGTTTTGTTTGAAAATAAGGAAAGAAAAATAAAAAAGAGAGATAAAAGAGAAGGACTAGAGAGAGAATGATGAAAGAAACGGTTTGTTGCGTAAATAGCGAGGGAGATTCTCTTCGTTAACCTCTGTCCAAACCCAAGTTTAAACCTAATTGTGAATTTCAGAGATCTCTTCAGCTCTTTTCTTGTTCAATCAATCGCTTTTGAAGAAATTCCTCGCTCGCCCGTTCACGTTATGCAATTTGCAGTTCCATCGATGATCTCAATCAACCACTGATTGCTTATTCCTTCCCCTTATTTCATGCCATGCCGCATTCGTTTTCTTCATCTTTTATTGAACTCACAAGTGTTTCTCCTACTTCTTTTTGTTTGCTCGAGAGTTTTTCAAGACAAGACTGCATCCCAGGTTATCATTTTTTTTGTTAGTGGTGATTATATGTTTGTGAAAGTCGGTTATTTCTTCTGGGGCATTCAGGGTTATCATTTATATGTTCCTTGCTGTAGTATTGATGTTTATTCATTTGACCTTTCCCTGGCAATGGTTGAGGCGAGGAAGAAGGGGGATTATGGGTTTTCTGGGTTGTGATGTCTTGTGGTGGGGAAGCTGACGAGCAATGGACTTGTGGAAAAGTCGGCGCTGTCAGTTTGCAGAAAGTAGGTTTGATTGTGCGAGACATTGACGAGCCATGCCTTTCACAATTGCTCATAAAGGTTTTTATAGCTGTAAGACTCTCATCAACTATGAGTATGCATGTGCTTGAGAGTTGAACACTTCTATATGATATCTCATCCCGTTTCTTACCTTATTTGTTCGGTTTTCTTACGTTTTGGTTTCTAGTTAGAGTTTCTCTTTCTAGATTATATTGGTATTTGGCCCGTATTTATTCAGAAGCTTTACTCCAACTTCAGTATCTGTACAATATAAGTGGAGTGTTGTCGATAACATTTTATCATCCAAGTGCTAATCAGTGCAATGACCTTAATTTGTATTGAAAATTCCTGGCTTGAGTAGTATCAAGGCATACTTCTTATTTTCCTACAATTCGTGTTCTCTATTTAGATACAGTTTTCAGATAGAAATACGTAATATGGGCTCTTGTCATTGGCAACTGACATCTTATGATAAAGTTGGCAAAAAATGGAAATGTAATGTAGGTTGTTTGTTCGTTTTTTATGTATTTTTTCAGTGTCTAAGCTTTGTATTTTACCACGACAGTGTTTAGTGGTAACAAGATGCTTATTGTTTACTTCTTTAGTTGGGTCAATTGGTCGCTGGTTGATGGTTATGAAAAAAGCTTGCCCACTCATTCAACCATCAATGATATTCTCTTAAGAACTTTCACATTAAAGTGGTATGAGAGCTGTGTTCACCCAATATAGGATGGTGTCCAGCCATATTTTGCAAGAAAAGTAAGTGACACTTTGACAGGTTGTGAGCTTCAGGCTTCCATTCTTGATGGCCAACGACACATTCTTCCTTGGAAGGATTGGATAGAAGGATGACTGCCATTGAAGACATTTTAACAAATTTAAATCAAATCATTTGTGCCTTCTATAATACAAATGGTTTAAATCTTGGACCAAGAATGAATCAAGAAGATTGGATCCAAGTGTAAGAATGAAATTTGGGACAAAATTAGGATGGAGACAAGTGGACCCCAAGGAGTGAGAGGAAGTGGCTGCAACTAGACAAGGTAACCCCAAGAATGGCAAAAAGGTACTTAGGGGTGTTTTGGCCCGTGGGGTTGGCTTGGGCTGGGTTTGGTATCTTGAGCTAACCCCACGTTTGGCTCAATGGGTAGAGAAGTCCATGAATTAATTTGAAGCTTGGAGTAGAATACTCTGTAATCCCTTGGTTTGCAACACAGGTTTGGTCTTCCTCTTTTCCTCGTCTTCTCCTTTCATTCTTCATCTGTCTTCTTGCCTTCTTCATACGGATTAGGGTTCTAGCTTCTCTCTTCTATCTCTCACCTTCCTATTATGAATTTCTTCTAAATTTTATTACTAATTTCTCTCATTCTTCCTCATGCAAAATCATTGTTCAAAAACCCTCATCGAAATCTCCAACCACCTCTTCATTCTAACCATTCACGCCGCATGATTTCAATTTTCTTCCTCCTCTCCCCCAACTCCATAACTACGATTTTGGTGTCGTATTTATTCAGATCTATGATTTCAGTTTTCCATTTCTTTAGATTTATGATTTTGGTTTCGTTTTTCTTCAGATCTACTGCCTTTGTGTTACGTTCTCAATCTCTTCATCTATTTCCCTCTCTTGCGCTACCATCATTTCATAGCCACCCTGTAGAAACCCTAATCCCAAATCCGATCCCTTGTCGCTCAAATTACCCCAACATTTCATCTCTTGCCGCCTCCAATTATCCCAAGAACAGAACATGATTCTTCTCAGATGAAGGCTTGGTAGGATAATTGATGGGGTTGTTAGAGCTTGGCAGGGGAGGGTCTTCAAACAGGTTTGTTTTCTATCCTTTACGGCTGATGATGAGGAACCTTTTCTGAAATTTTTGTATGTTATTGTATCATCTATAATTTTTATGCTTCCTTCCCATATTTGCTTCCTTTTCCTTTTTTCCGATTGATGTAATTATTAATCTCCTTTTAAACTGTTTCTCTGATGTAGTTTGAAGTTTCATTTGGTTCTCAACTTCCTTCCAAGACTAATTTTGGAGTAGGTTTGCCATTGATGTCCTCTGTTTCTATTTTGTTACCATTATTTTTAATTTTCTGAGTACATAGATATGATTAGATGTTTGTGATTCATATTGTGGGCATTGTTATATTCTTGTTGCCTGTGATTTATTGTTCCATGTTTTCATGTTCTGCTATGTTCTTTGTTGTTCCATGTATGAGGTTTCTGTTATTCAATAATATTTGATTTTTTATTCGTATTCCTACCACCAATTGCATTAAAGATAGTCCTCATATCCATTTACTTCTATAGTTTCAATTTATTCTTCTTCATCCCCATGAAATGAAATGGTAGTTGGGATATTTAATAACTTTTATAAAAATAATTCCTATTTTATTTTTAATTTTTTTTATTTGTTTGAAAATCTGAAATATAATTCACTTATTACTTCTATGTTCTGTGAAGTTCAATTTACTTCTCTTTTATATTCGTCATGGTGGTTGAGATGTTAATTAACTTGTATGGATGGATAATAAATACCTTCACCTCCTCAACTAACCATGTAGACCCCTAAATTTGTTCGGCATTCCATTTCATTATTTCTTTTTTATTTGTATTTATATTTGTATTTTATTTATATTTTATTTTTAGTCTTTAATATTTCTCCCTCTAGAACTTTTATTTTAATTGATGACAAATATTTTCTTTGTGATGTTTTATAAAAAAAGGGAAAATAAAAATATTTTGATTCACTCATTTTCTAAGGATAAAATCTTTAAGGAAGATAAAATAAAAATTCTTTTTCTGGAAAAATCTTTTACTTGATTGATCAAAAGTAGTAAAAAAAAAAAGAGGGAAATAATCTTCCCATTTTGGTCGATATTTGGGAGGCAAATGAGTTTTTTTAGGAAAAACCTTTTTGATTTGACTTAACAAAAATGGTAAAAAAATAATGAGGCTTTTAGTAATTATATTTCTTTCTTTTTTTGTTAAGATTTTGAGGATTTTAAAAATAAAACAAATCTTTCTTTAATTAGATTTAATTATTTGATTTTTTTTCCCTTAACAAAATTAGATTTCAATGCCTATGAAGTGGGAAAATGTTTTGAAGTAAGGGGAGGGTTTTCTTTTTTCTCGGTGGGCTGGGATTTTTTTGATTCTGCTTTACATTTTCTTCTTCCCTCACCAGTGCAAAATCCCAACAACCTTTTTTTTTTCTTTTTCACTTCTCCACATCATCGAGATCGTCGTAACTCTATAGCCTCCAATGACATGCTCCTCACTCACGAAGTAGATATTACATTTTCATCCACTAACTTTGAGGTATATTTCTTTTTATATACGTAGATAAGGAAAAAGATTACTTGAGAAAGTTCAAAACTGTTTTTTTTTAGTTTATTTTAAAGGGTAGTTTAGTTTTATCATCTTCTTGCATTATGTTAAAACAATATTTTCTTCCTAAAACAATAATAACTTAGCTTGTGCTTCTTTGTATATTCATAGTTTTAACCATGTTTGCATTGAAATAAAGATTCGGCTTGCGTTTCTTCGTTTATTCATATTAAAGTCTTTGTTGAAGATTACTAGTGAACATGTGATTCATTTTAAGATCATTATTTATTATTATGGTATGGAAAAGACATATGCATATAATGACCATTTTATGCATATTAGTTAACGATATTTGTATCAAAGTTTATGCTAGCTCGTGTTAGTCATACGATGTTTAGGTTTTTTGGAATAGACATATATACATATATTGACCATTTTATGTGTATTAGTTAACGATATTCGGATCAAAGTTTATGCTAGCTCGGGGGAGTTATATGATGTTTATGTTTTTATCTCTTCTCTTCCGTTTGTTCTTTAAGCTAAGTTTTTTTTTTCCTTAAAAAAACAAATACATTTACTTTGTAAAGGAAAGTCCCAACGAGAGAACCTTGAAATGTTCGGGAGGCCGACGTTCTGGGATTCTTGAGGGTAAAGGTCAATATTTCGGGAGGCCGAGATTTGATTTTTATTATCTTTCCCTAGAGAGACGTTTTTTTTAAATAAATTTGATTTTTATCTATGTGTCTTTTTTGAATAAAATAATCCACTAAAATGCAAATTGTTCTCATTGTTTTTATCATTTTGAAGTAAATAAATTTATCTTTCTTAAAAAAAATAAAGAAAACATGTCTTCGTTGTCTCGTGTAAGACTTTTTCCTTATAAGGAAAATTTTGTTGTGAAAAGAAAAGCATTTAAAAAATGAGCATCTCATAAAGGTATTTCCTTCGTGATATTTATAAGAGTTAACAAATTAAATCTCGTCATTAAATTTTTTTTTCTAAAAAAATTCCTATGACGGAAATTGGGGGAATTCGAAAGGTTGATCCTCTAATATTCTTGAGGTGATGAATTTATTTTGGAAGGCCAAATTAAATTCAAATGATTAAAATTTTCTTAATGGCTTTAAGCCATCCATAATTATTTGTTCCTTATTTATCTTAAGAATAAGGACCAATTAAGCACGAGACATTTAAAAATAAAATAAAACATTTTTTTTATTAAGGGCCATTTTTCTTGAAAATAATACAAAAAAATAAATTATCGTTCAGTGAACGAGTGTTGTGAGGTGCTAATACCTTCCCCATACACAAAAGACACCCGAACCTAAATCTTTTTGTGCAGATCAACTTATCCATGCATTTCAGGTGGCCAGTCACTCCCTAAATAAAGACTGGTGGCCACTCCATTTTTTCTCCTCTCGGGAAGAAAGTCGACACTCCACGTCGCAAACCTGTAGCGACAAACCACATCCCCTATAAATTCACCTCTTTTCACCCCCAACACTCGGACTTTTCTTTGTAATTTCTATTTGCCACCCATTCTGCCTTTGTTTATGGTAAGTTGTATTATGTATATTTTGTGTTTCAAATTTTCCATTCTTTGTGTTGAATCTCATACTTCTTGTTTGATTCACCGTGTATGTGCAATGGTTCGAAACTGAGGTCGAACTTTAAAATTCCTCCTTCTTATACATAGTTTTTTTTTAACACATGACCTAACTTATTCATTGTTACTGTAATTTTTTTTTCCTTCCTTAACACTTACTTGGTGATGCTTTGTAAAATGAATTTATCTCCCATGAGCTGTAATGTATCTTTTTGATTTGCAATATTACATTATGTGAGTAGTTGATGTTGGATCTCATACTAGTTTTTATTCAAATATATGAGCAACGAATCTTGAGGCCAAACTTCAAAATTTTGCTTCTTCTATTTTATCTATTTTATTTTTATTGCATGACCTAACCTATTTATTCTCACTTTAATTTTTTCCCTTATTCTTGTTCTTATTACCTTCTTAATACAAGCCTTTCTTATTTAGCAGCATGCATTTCACATGGATCATAGCTTCCTAAGGTACTCTCCTCTCATTTTATCTATTTTTTTTGCGCCCCCACTCACCTACTTATTATATTGTTCATGTTCCTTGCAGTTCGTGAGACCATTCATTACGTCATCTCTGCCCCTCTCGACCTCACATCTTTGCATTTACGTAATATTCGATTTTCCAATCTATATTTACGCATTGGTTCATCTGTTAGTGTTTTGCTATGTGCACATACCATTATAGTTATTAATTTTATATGTTGTTCAAGCTCATTACTCATTTATGTTTGCAATTCAAACCTTTGTTTTTAACTTATTGTATTATGATTCAACTTTAGCTTACATCTGTATTGGACATTACTATATTATAATTTATTATGCCAATTTTATTGTCTTATTTACATATCTTTCATAACAATAAGAGAAATTTAGATGTTCTTTTAAAATGAAATGGATGAGATCACAACAGCAAGTATTCAAGACATGGAATGAATGCTAAGATTGTTTTTTTTTATAAATAAATTATGCTAAAACTAGTGGTTAATTAAATTATATTCTTATACATATAACTTTGATAATATTTTCCAATAATGAATGATAATGATATTTGTAAATGAATGTACAAATGTTTTTGCTAAGATTAGATTTCTAGGTATATG